AGGAGTTTACTAAATGCCTCGAGGTAGTCTTCTTTGGGTTAAATCTGCTAGGTGTTCTACAACCTTCTTATACTTGGATATTGATATGTTTCTCTAGGTTTAGGAGGTAAAAGGCCAATAACTACTCTTAGATTTGCCCTTTTGAGGCTATTTTCTAGATCCTGCAGGCATACTTCATTCTTTTTTATTCTTTTTTCTTTTTCTTTTTTTTTTTTTTTTTTTTTTGAGACAGAGTCTGGCTCTGTCACCCAGGCTGGAGTGCAGTGGCCGGATCTCTGCTCACCGCAAGCTCCGCCTCCCGGGTTTACGCCATTCTCCTGCCTCAGCCTCCCGAGTAGCTGGGACTACAGGCGCCCGCCACCTCGCCCGGCTAGTTTTTTGTACTTTTTTTTTTAGTAGAGACGGGGTTTCACCGTGTTAGCCAGGATGGTCTCGATCTCCTGACCTCGTGATCCGCCTGTCTCGGCCTCCCAAAGTGCTGGGATTACAGGCTTGAGCCACCGCACCCGGCCTATTCTTTTTTCTTTCGTCTCCTCTGACTGTGTATTTTCAAACTGTCTGCCTTCAAGCTCACTAATTCTTTGTGCTGCTTGATCAATTCTACTATTAAGATTCTAATGCATTCTTCAATATGTCAATTGCATTTTTCAGATCCAGAATTTATGCTTGATTCTTTTTACTTATTTCAATCTCTTTGTTAAATTTGTCTGATATACTTCTGAATTCCTTCTCTTTGTTATCTTGAATTTCACTTTCCTCAAAACAGCTATTTTTAATACTCTGTCTGAAAGGCCACATATGTCCATTTCTCCAGGGTTGGTCCTTGGTGCGTTATTTAGTTCATCTGGTGAAGTCGTTTTCCTGGATGGTCTTGCTACTTGTAGATGTTCGTTTGTACCTGGGCATTGAAGAGTTAGCTATTTATTGCAGTCTTCACAGTCTGGGCTTGTTCTCATCCATCTTGGGAATGCTTTCCAGGAATTCAAAAAGGACTTGGGTGTTAAGATCTAAGCTGTATCTGCTTTAGGGGCACCCCAAACCCAGTAATGCTGTGGTTCTTGCAGACTTGTAGACATACTGCCTTGACTGTCTTAGACAATATCTGGGAAAATTTTCTGCATTACCAAGCAGAGACTCTTGTCACTGCCCTTACTTTCTTCCAAATGAATAGTCTCCCTCTCTGTTCTGAGCCATCTGAAGCTCAGGGTGGAGTGACTTAAGCACCCCCATCGCCACGACCATCAGGATTGTGCTTAGTCAGATGTTACACCAGCACAGCACTGGGTCTCAACCAAGGTCCACTGTAACCACTACCCGGCTACTGCCTATGCTTTCTCAAGGCCCTAGGGCTCTACAATCCATGGGTGGCAAAGCTGGCCAGGTCTGTGTCCTTCCCTTCAGGGTGTCAAGTTCCCCCAGGCCCCAGGTGGATCCAGAAGTCCTGTCTCAGAACTGGGAGCCAGGAACTACAGTCAAAAACCTTAGCAGCCTACCTGGTATTCTATTTTACTGGGGCTGAGCTTACATTCAAACCACAAGACACAGTCCTTCCCACTCTTCCCTTTCCAAAGGCAGACGAACCTCAACCCATGGCCATCACAACCCAGCCCTACAGGGAGTACTGCCAGAGTACCAGTCATGTTCCCTTATGACCCAAGGGTTCTTCAGTCAGCTTGTGGTGAATGATGCCTAGGCTGGGAGTCACCCTTCAGCACAGTGGACTCCCCCTCTGGTCCAGGGCAGGTCCAGAAATGCCATCCAAGAGCCAAGTCCTGGAATTGGGGACCCCAAGAGCCTACTTGGTATTCTACCCCCATGGCTATGCTGGTACCTAAGATGCAAGACAAAGTCCCCTTTACTTTTCTCTCTGCTTTTCTCAAGTGAAGAGTCTTGTCCTATAGCCATCACAGCTGGAAATGTACTGAGACTCACCTGATGCCACCAAGTCTCAGAGTCTCACCCAAGGCCCTCAATGCAGTCCCTGGATATCACTGATGGTTATTCAGGGCCCCAGGGCTCCTCAGTTGGCAGGTGATGAATCCTGCCAGGATTGGGTCCTTCCTTTCAAGGATATAGGTGTCCTTCTTGCCCAAAGAGTGTCCAGAAATGTTATCTTGGAGCTAGGGCCTGGAAAGGGGACATCATGACTCTGACCTGTGCCCTATCTTACTGTGGCTAATCTGGTATGCAGGATGTAAGACAAAGTCCTCCCCACTCTTCCCTCTCCTCTCCTCAAGCAGAAGGAAGGGGTCTGTTTTGGACCTGCAAGCTGAGTGGTCTGGGTTAAGGGAGGGGTGACTGCCATCCTCCCTTAGCTGCCCCAACTGTTGATTCAATAGAACACATGCCATCCCCAGTCCACAGTCTCTGGCCCTAGTTCAGCACTAGGACTCACCTAGGAGTTGTAGTCCTTGTGGCCTAGACTGCCTTTCAAATTTACTTAGAGCACCAGAGCACTTTAGCCCATAATAGGAGGGCTTATGCAAACTCAAGTATTGACCACAAGCATCAGCAATTCCCCTCTGGCTAGGGCTAGTTTAAATACTCTCTCCATGGGTAGACATCAGCTGAGTTTGGTCCAGTTTTGCTTTCTGTTATAAGACAGCACTGAATTCAGTGCCTCAAAATTGCTGCACTGACTGTCCTTCTCCCCAGTACAAAGAATCACTCTCCACACTGTGTCGCCACTCCCAGGGAATGGGGGAAGGGTGGCGTCAGTGACTCAAGACTATTTTTCCTACTTGTTCAGTGCCTCTTTCAGTGATGCGAAGTTAAAACCAGGTACTATGCGTGTTCTTATGCGGTTCTTAGGAAGGTGTTTTTTGTGTGTAGAGAGTCGTTAAATTGGTGTGCTTGTGGGTGGTGTCTTCTATTCTGCCATCTTGTTTCACCCCTCATCTACATCTTTTTAATATTTAAAGATCTCTTAATATCTCTTAAAGATCTCTTAAATATCAAGGAAAAAAAATGCCAAAACCCAAGGGGGCAAAAGATGTGAATGGAGAATTCACAGAAAAAGAATCGCAAATAGCCAATGAACATTTTTTAAAGATGCTCAACTTCACACATAGCAAAGTGCAAACAAAAACTTCCATCTATCCATCCCCCTGTGAGACTCAGCAAAATTCCTAAATTTGACCACAATCCCTGTTGGTGAGGCTGTGGAATAAAATATACACTGCTAATGGAATTGCCAAATGGTGACACAAGGAACTTGGAAATATACATATATCAAAATTGAAATTCAGCAATATCTATGAAATACCAGCATATTTCTCCTTCAACTCAACAATGTCCCTCCCAGAAATTACCCTGAAAATGTACTTTCACAAATAAGAAACATTGCACAAAATTGTTTACTTAAACAGTATTTGTAAGAAAAATATACTGGAAATAGCCCAAATGTCCATCAATAGGGCATTGACTGAAAAAACTACAGTTCATACATGTAATGGACTACTAAGTGGTCATAAGTAAAGGATGAAGAAATACCTAGCACTAACACAGAGGAATCTATAGGATATTTTATTAAATAAATGAATTCACTTAATTCTTTTATAAAATATTCTCTATTACATTTAGAATGAGAAAGGCAGGAAACTAAGACTCATGGTTATGTATGTGTTTATATATTTTTGGGATTTATTTTTTTAAAAAATGGACTGGAATGAGAAACCAGAAAGCAGAAAAAAAAAATACTCATGTTGCAGAAGGAAATAGGGCAGGGACAATAAGGACAGAAACCAGACTAGTATTTTACATATTCAAAAAAATAAATTATAAAAAGTTTCAAGGTATTCCATCAGACTAGATAACATGAAGGACTATGCTACCACAGAATACCTAAAAGAGTACCAGATCAACATGAAACTTCTGTCTGTAAAAAGACAGTATAGAATTAAAAGATTACTCAAATATGAAGTATTTGCTACATACAAGCCTACAAGCAGTCAGTATTCAGGACACATAAAATATATATAGGAGATATAGACATATAAAAGACACATCCCATAAAGAAAACCAAACTTCAGAAAAGGAACATGAGCAAATGACATTTCACAAATGAAACATCGATGGCCAGTTAACCTAATTAGTAGTCAGAGAAATATAAATTAGAACTACAATGAGCTATCAGATTACCAATAATGATAAAAGACTGAGATATTGTTGGTGAAAACATGTAACAACTAAGACTCTTACCCATTGCTAAGAGGGGTACAACTGGCATAACCATTTAGGAAAAGAATTTTGCATTACCTTGAAGATGCAAAGAAGTGCATACCATATGAACTAGCAATTCTACTCCTAGAAATATATCCTAGAGAAACATTTTATACATGTGTGCAAGGAAAAATGCCAATAATAGTCCAAGTAGCATTGTTCTTCGTCGGAAAATATTCGAAACAACGTAAGCAAAATATTCAAAACAACCTAAATATCCATTGTTAGAAGATACATAAATTGTGATATATTCATACAATAGAATGCTGTATAGCAGGAAAAATAATAAATGTACTAGACCTACAAGTATCAAAGCAGGTGAACCACAAAATATAATACTGAGTGAAAAAAAAGCAAGTTGCAGAAAAATATATAGAGTTGGATCAATATCTAGAAAGTTCAAAATAAAGCAATTAAAAAGTCTGTGTTATAATAAAAAACAAATTCAAGGAAATAGTTACCTCTAGAGGGCAGGATATGAAATACAAAAGAAGAAATCTTCAGAAGTATTATGTATTATTTCTTAAGCTACCTAGTATGAGGGTTATCTGTTTTATTCTTATTTGCTAAACTGTATATATACATTAATGTACTCATTATGTATATTTAATAAAATATAAAAGTAATTTTAAAGAGTCAATTGCATTAGTAGTACTAAAATATCCATGATATATATATTTGTTGGCAAACATCCAAAAAATCATTTCAAATTTAACTGATTTCTATTTAATTGTTAGTTTTTAAAATAGAGTAAAATTAACTTATACAGTTATACTGACAGATTTTCTCAGTAGATGTTGGCCTGCTTTTTAAAGAGCATATTCCTCCTTCTTCTATCAGAATCTAGGAGAAAACCAAAATGTTAACAATTCCTAAGTATACATAATAATATTCACTTATATCTACCCTATTTACACCACCAATTCATTTTATAGTACTTTTCTTTTACATTACTTCAGTTCAACTTTTTTCTTTTTTTTTTTTTTTTTTTTTGAGATGGAGTCTCGCTCTGTCCCCTAGGCTGGAGTGCAGTGGCACCATCTCGGCTCACTGCAAGCTCCGCCTCCTGGATTCACACCATTCTCCTGCACAGCCCCCCGAGTAGCTGGGACTACAGGCGCCCGCCACCATTCCCGGCTAATGTTTTATTTTTTTTTTAGTAGAGACGGGGTTTCACCATGTTAGCCATGATGGTCTCGATCTCCCGACCTCGTGATCCACCCGCCTCGGCCTCCCACACTGCTGGGATTACAGGCTTGAGCCACCGCGCCCGGCCAACATGGTTTATTTTTAAATCACAAAGAAAAATTAGCCTGTGGTGAACAATAAAATGAAATTTAAATTGGTTTTAAAACGACAAGCAACAGAAGAGACACTTGCCAAGAAATGAATTACTGAGAAAAAGGAAAAGCTTCAGATAATCATAGTAAATGCAGCTGAACAAAGACAAACATATTAAGGCAATTTGGAAATTTGTTATTCTTTATTTAATTTCCTAAGTTAGATCATCAGTCATTTGTTTTCAGGTTTTTAAAATAATAAAAGCTCTTAGAGGTATAACTTTCTATAGAACACACATTTGGTTTTGGTTTCCATCACTTTCTATGTATTTGTACTTTATTTTCATTTCCTCTCTCAAACAAAGCAAAGAAACCCTGAGTGTTTCTTTATTTCCAGGATGTTAAGGGAAGTTAAGTATCTCTTTTTAGTTGATTTCAATTTTATCAAATTTTGATTAGAGAATGTACCTATGAATCTCTCCTTAGATAAATTTCTTAGATTTTCTTTATGGCTTACTATATGAATTATGTTTGCAAATGTACCATGGGCTTATAAAAATTTTGTTCTATATATTCTCTGTTAGTAGGATATAGAATTTTAGATATATAGAATAAAGGAGAAACTGTCTAGCTGCTTCCCAAACCTGACTCCCTTTTTCTTGGACATACAGCTAGACTGTATTTCCCAACCTCCCTTGGAATTAGTTTAGACATGTTACTTAACTTCTGGTCATAGGCAGAAGTAATGTATACTACTGCCGGTCCTGGTCCATAAAAATCTTCCCCACAATCCTCCACTTCCTTTTCCCCTCTGCTCTCTGGTGACAATAAACTGGAAGCCACCAGTTTAGGGCCTGAATAACTACATGAAGCAGAGCCCCTTCCCTAACCCCTCTATCTTATCATTTAAAAACCTTTTCTCTTCAACTCATGACACATTCAACCCCCTTGCAACAAGAACACAAAACTTTCAAGAAAGCTATGGAGACCCCAAGGCAGGTCTGCACTCCAATATCTACTTCAGATCTGTTTGAGAAGGACAGCAAAGATCTTCCCAAAGGACAAGACACTAAGTTATTCACAAACGTCCTCCATCCTCCAGGATGGCAAGCCTTCACAATGCATACCCAGCAGGATTTTATAGTTGCTATGGATCAGAAAATCTGCAACTCCTATTTTTCTCTTTTTCGAATGGGCTTTTTATTGCATTTATATGGTCTTTGCTCCAATAGTATATATGTTTTCTTAATGTATGTATATTGCTATCTGTTTGCTTTCAACCTTTATTATATTCTAGATATGCTGCCTGTAAACTATATTGATTTTTTCTTCATAATTTGATATTCTTTGAATATTGAAAAGAATTCATGTTCAATATATTTATTCATATTCAATATGTTAATTGCTAAGTGGGTTTCATTCCCTACACTGTATATAGAATTGCTATTTCATTTCTTCCCATCTTGATCAGGTTTCCTAGTGTGACATCATCACTCTTGAATTTTTTTCTACCATGGCTCCACTTCTCTAGTGATTACCTTCCCATGTTAACAATTGTATTTAAACTTTATTCCTCTACTAAACCTTTAAAATTAAATAATTATACTCCTCCAACACTTTGTTCTTTCCTATTCTCTTCCACTCCCACTAAAGGCTCTTGAGAACAACACACGTCCCCATTCAAGAGGCTTGTTCTGTTTGCTTGTTTTAGCCTGTATGTCTCTTCATCAATTCTTCCTCAGCAGAAGCTACCTGTTTTAATTTTACCTAACCCGTGGGCAGGTGCAACCCAGCCCTCTTTCTACTCCTACCCCTTCATTCCATCCCATTGGTGACTCCTGCCTTGGCCCCTCTGGTAGAACCTAATTTTAGTCAGGGTTCCACTGCACCTTTGGCCATGGCCAGGCATCACAATGTAAAAGTCCCCACACCTGCTCTACCCAAAGAACTCCTCATAGCACCTGATTCCCCTTGGGCTACACCAATGGACTTTTTTCTTTTCTGACTAGTTCTAGCTACATTCAAGCTGCCAGCTTTCTAGACATAGGTGTAGTCAAATAGAATTTGTTTTTGAAGTATTATATTTTGTTGATAATTCATATTTTGGGAGGATACATCTATATTATTCATATTTGGGAAAATATGAATTATTTAAAGGAATAACAGGACAGCTTCCAACACTACTGACCACATTCTCCTCCTTTTTCTTTCCTATGACACTAGTACTCCTCAAACCTCTCTAGTAGCTCATTCTCAGCCTCCTTTTCTGGTTTCTCTTCTACTTCATATCCTCCAACCTGAAATGTGCCTTCTCAGGAATTTGACAATTTTTGTTCTTATTCTATACACTTTCTCTCGAGAATCACACACTTGGATGTAGTCAATTATCTCCTATTCATTAAAGTCTAAAAAATCTCTTCTGACCTCAAGCCCTGTATATATAATTGTCTACTATACATCTCCACATAGATCACAGGTTTTTCAGAAGATCCTCACTTAAGCTCAGTGGGTCAAACTTCTCTGTCTCAGAAATCTGCTCCTCCTCTTAATCAGAGTGATGTTAGGTATTGTTTTTAAAAAGTATATTACAAAATGTATAATGCCAAACACAATCATTTCTCTCTTGTGTAATAATCTAAAGTGAGTGTTTCTGGTAAGCAGGCAATTTTCCTCCATGTAGTGATTCAGAGACCCAGTCCTTTCCATCTTGTGGCTCCATTATCCCTTGGGGCCTCACTACCATCTAGCCATCAAAAGAAAGACAGCATGGAAAAATAATTCCCTTTTCTTATAAGCCTTGACCTAAAACGATGGACATCACTTCTCCTAATATTTCATTAGTGAGATCTAGCCATATGGCCACATGTACATGGACGGATGGTTAGGAAATATGTTCCTTGGCTGGGAAGCCATTTCACAGTGGTAGCTCTATTCTATTAAAAAGGGTACATTCTACAAAAAAGGGTACATGAATTTTGATGGAGTTAACCTTTCCTGCCACCTCCTCCTATGGTTTCAATCTCGTTCAGTAGCACAATCCCATCAACTACCCATTTACTCAAATCATAAATAAATCTAGGTCTTCCTCAATTTCTTCCTTCTTCCTTAAATAATCACCAATCACCAAGTACTATCAATTCTAGAGCTAATCTTCTCTTCTCTCACTTTCATTCTTACTGCTATTATAAAACTTCAAGCTCTCATTATTTCTTCCCCTAACTTGAGTTGTTCCACTTATCAAATCCCTCCTCATTGTTGCTAGAGTCAACTTTTTTATTACTCTGACATCATCATATTCCTCTGCTAAAATTTGTTTAGTGGATCTCTGTTTAACAATCAAGAATTGGCCGGGCGCGGTGGCTCACACCTATAATCCCAGCACTTTGGGAGGCCGAGGCGGGTGGATCACCTGAGGTCAGGAGTTCAAGACCTGCTTGACCAACATGGAGAAACCCCGTCTCTACTAAAAACACAAAATTAGCCAGGCATGGTGGCACACGCCTGTAATCCCAGCTACTCAGGAGGCTGAGGCAGGAGAATCGCTTGAACCCAGGAGGCGGAGGTTGTGGTGAGCTGAGATCGTGCCATTGCACTCCAGCCTGGGCAAAAAGAGCAAAACTCCGTCTCAAAAAAAAAAAAAAAAAAAAAAAAAACCAACAATCAAGAATTAAACTGTTATATATCATACAAGGCCATTTATGACCTGCCTTTTTGTATTGTCCAGAATTACCTAGGCCACTCCTGCGCCTCTTATCATTAGTATTATAAATAGTAGCTATAACAATAACTAGAATGAAACAAGGTACTTGAAATTTCTAAAACAGGCTGTACTCTGACATCTTAGTTTATCTATGTTGCTCCTTCTTCACAATTTGACCATTTGGTAAACAACTTATTGATACTGTGCTCAAAAGTTACCTCCTCCATCACATCTTCCTCCTGTTTACAGATGAAACTTAGAAGTGTCTTTTACTAATAACCCAAAACAAGCTTCAAGCAATTGATCTAAATGTATTATATTTTTGTCTCTTTCTGACTAGCCATTAGATGAAGACTTCTTAAAGACGGGTTCCATGTCCTTTCATCTCTGTACCTTGCAGAGTCTAGTGCAAACAGAATATAATCTTGAGAACAAAGCACCATTTTATCCCCAGTGTCTAGCACACAGGAAACATTCAATAAGTGTATATGAATTAATGATATGTACTCAATAAATATTTATTGAAGAAAAAAGGGAAAACAGTATAGCTGAAAATATCAAATCAGATATGACAGATAGTTGAATCTTAGCTTGAGAGTGTGACCTCAAACAAGTTATCTAATCTCTCTAAATTTCAATCTCTTTTGCTGTGAAGACTTTAGCAACTCAGGCTCCTATAGATTAGAAATAAACTACATAAAGTTCCTAGCACTATTATAAAAATTACAACCTTATGATGGCAAGGGATTATAATATTACATAACCAGTGTTTATAGATATTTCAATAGTATGGCAAATATAAAATTACGTAGATTGAAACCTAAAGCATTTTCATGTTGAAAGATGATATGGTTTGGATCTTTGGATGCCCCCAGCAAATCTCATGTTGAATTATAATCCCCAGTGTTGGAGATGGGACCTGGTGGGAGGTGACTGAATCATGGGAAATAGTTTCTCCTGAATGGTTTCGTACCATCCCCCTTGGTACTTCCTTTACAATAGTGAAGTCTGTTCTCATGAGATCTGGTTGGTTAAAAGTATGTGGCACCTCCCGCCTCACTCTCTCTTGCTCCTGCTTTTGCTATTTGAGATGCTTCACACCCACTTCACCTTCCACCATAACTGTTATTTCCTGAGGTTTCCCCAGAAGCCAATCTGATGCCACAATCCTGCTTCCTATACAGCATGTGAAACCGTGAGCCAATTAAATCTCTTTTCTTTATAAATTACCCAGTCTCAGGTATTTCTTTATAGCAATGTGAGAACAGACTAATACAGAAAATTGGTACCCGGAGTGGAGTTTTGATATAAAGATACCCGAAAATGTGGAAGGAATTTTGGAACTCAGTAATGGGCAGAAGTTGGAAGAATGTGGCAGGCTCAGAAGAAGACAAGAAGAAAATAAGGGAAAGTTTGGAACTTCGTAAAGACTGGTAGTTGAATGGTTATAACAAAAAAGGCTGAAAATGCTGGTAGTGATATTGATAGTGAAGTTCAGGCTGAGGAGGTCTCAGATAGAAATGAGGAACTTATTGGGAACTGGAGCAAAGGTCACTTTTGTTATGTGTTAGCAAAGAACTTGGCAGTATTGTGCCCCGGCCCTAGGGATCTGTGGAACTCTGAACTTGAAGGTGATTAATTTAGGATATCTGGCAGAAGAAATTTCTAAGCAGCAAAGCATTCAAGACATGGACCAGCTGCTTTATATGAACAGCCTATGTTCATATGTGTGAGCAAAGAAATGATAAAAAAAACTGGACCTCATATTTAAAAGGGAAGCAGAGCATAAAAGTTTGGAAAATTTGCAGCCTGGCCATGCGGTAGAAAATAAAAGCCCATTTTCCAGGAAGGAATTCAAGCAGGCTGCAGAAATTTGCATAAGTAAAAACGAGCTAAGTGCTAATAGCCAGGACAATGGGGAGAAGGTCTCAATGGCATTTCAGAGACCTTCATGGCAGCCCCTCCTATCACATGCCTGAAGGCCTAGGAGGGAAGAATGGTTTCCTGGGCCAGGCTCAGGGCCCTGCTGCTCTGTGCAGCCTCAGAACACTGCTCCCTGTATCCCAGTCACTCCAGCTCCAGCCATGGCTCAAAGGGGCCCAGGTACAGCTCAGTCTGCCGCTTCACAGAATGCAAGCTATAAGCCTTGATCCTTCCATGTGGTGTTAAGCCTGTGGGTACACAGAGTGTAAGATTTAAGGCTTGAGAGACTCCACCTAGATTTCACAGGATGTACGGAAAAGCCTAGATGTTCAGGCAGAAGTCTGTTGCACAGGCGGAGCTCTCATGGATAACCTCTACTAGGGCAGAGTGGAGGGGCAATGTGGGATTGAGCCCTCCCACAAAGTCCCCAATGGGGCACTGCCTAGTAGAGCCATGAGAAGAGGACCACATCCTTCAGACCCTGGAATGGTAGATACACCATCAACTTGCACCTAACTCCTGGAAAAGCCACAGGCACTCAGCACCAGCCCATGAAAGCAGCCACAGGGGCTGAACCTTTCAAAACCACAGAGGCAGGGCTGCCCAAGGCTTTTGGAATCCACCTCTTACACCAGTGTGTCTGGATGTGAGATATATAGCCAAGGGAAATTATTTTGGAGCTTTAAGATTTATGGCTGCCCTGTTGAGTTTCAGACTAGCATGGGGCCTATAGACCCTTTCTTCTGGCCTATTTCTCCCTTTTGGAATGTAAATATCTACCCAATGCTTGTACCCCCATTGAATCCTGGAAGTAACTACCTTGTTTTTGATTTTACAGGCTCATAGCTGGAAGGGACTTGCCTTGTATCAGGTGAGACTTTGAACTTTTGAGCTAATGCTGGGATAAGTTAAGACTCTGGAGAACTGTTGGAAATGCATGATTTTATTTTGCAATGTGAGAAGGACATGAGATTTGGGGGGCTGGGGGGTGGAAAGATATGGTTTGGATCTATCTCCCTGCCAAATCTCATGTCAAATTATAATCCTGAGTGTTGGAGGTGGGGCTTGGTGGGAGGTGACTGGATCATGGCAGGGCAGTAATTTCTCTTGAATGGTTTAGCACCATCCCTCTTGGTGCTGTCCTCATGCTGGTGAGTTTGTCCTCATGCTGGTGAGTTTGTTCTCCTGTGATCTGGTCATTTAAAAGTCTGTGGCACCTCCCTACTCATTCTCTCTTGTTCCTGTTCCTGCCATGTGAGACTCCTTGTTCCCCCTTTGCCTTCTGCCATAATTAAAAGTTTCCTGAGGCCTCCCCAGAAACCAATCAGATGCCATCATCATGCTTCCTGTATAGCCTGCAGAACCATGAGCCAACTAAACCTCTTTTCTTTATAAATTGCCCAGTCTTAGGTATTTCTTTATAGCAATGCAAGAATGAACTAATACAAAAATTTTGTAATACTTAAAAAATGTGTTTAAAATGTCCTCAAGATTGTTTTGTCTCAAATAAAGCATGTAACAGTCTCTGAAAACGTGTTTTTATTTCTAGATCTAAAATATAATTTCCTCAGAATAAAAAAGTGTAAGACAAAGAGTCCATCCCAAAAAATTAATGAATAAATGTTAACCTTAAATCAAAGTGAATGCTAAATACAGTAATACGATATGGTAATACAAACTGACTTAATTGAGAAGATAATGTGAGACTGTGCTTTACCTCATCAAGTCCAAAGTCCCATGACTGCTTATAGTGCAATTCTTCTGAAGGTATATTTCCCCTAAGGATTATAAATACACAGTATTAAAGTTTGTTGTATTCCCTCTGGGAATTAATGTTCTAAATTAGAGTTCCCAAACTTGGCTTCAGATCGGAATTATATGGGAAGCTTTCTTAAAAACAAAGATTCATAAGCTCCAGGCCAAAGAGCCCACCTATTATGTGCAGGTCAATCTTGGTATTCTATAGTTTAAAATCATTCCCTCAAGTAATCCGGACCTGCAGTCAGGATTGAGAACCATGTTCTAAATTGCTTTCATAAGGTACATTTAAAACTCAAGGCCTAACATGATTTTTTCACTCATAAATTTCTAGATATTGGGAGATTTAACAACAAAGATACAAAGTTGTCAATTTTATGAAATGTTTTGTAAGTCTATGTTTTAATTAATGTGTATGTGCCAATCCCACTAAAATTACATCTTTTTATCCATCAATATTTTTAATAACTCCACAAGAAATCACTTCCAGAATAAAAATTTATTCTAGTTCACGATTTCCAATCAGAAAGATTTGTCTAAATTGCAATTATTACCAAGAAAGTTAGGACTATTCAGAAACTAGTAGCTAAAATAAAGTTTTCTTTAGTTACTTATAATTGCAGGCCAGTATTCACAAAAGTCTGGAAGGCAGCTTCCAAACTCTAAGGAATAAATTTAATATCAACACATAATGGACGAGTGTAAAAATCTCCTTAAATTCAGAACATTTTGTACACCAGCTGCAAGAAGAGAAAGAAAAATTATGTAACATAATTGTTTTCAATGTATGGGTAGAGGAGATTGTAATCTTGAACACAGAGAAAACATGGAGTCTCTGAGAGGTAAATGTTGGCAATGAGGAGAGTGCTCTATCTCTAAAATGTACACTGTCCTATAAACTGCTGATATGCTTCCTTATGCCATTAACATCTGAATTCTATCACTCCCTGTAGTGATTCTATACCAACCAAGCAAGAAACCTTCCCATTGAGAGCTGTCTGAAAGTAAGAAAACATGCTTTTTCATGTCAGACTTCCTATACATGTTCCCTTTCTATTTATTACTTTAAGTTAATAAATTGATATTCTGGTAGATATGAGTTTCTTGGACGCATTAAGTCAATTTCCTCAAACCTAATCAACACTAATATTCAGATAAGAAAGTATTTGGGAGCTGGTAAATATGAGCACCACACTCTCAACTGGGGTGATATTATCAACACTATGACTCCTGGTAAGGCTGCTTTGAGACAAGTTGCCTGCCCACCCTCAGATGGCAATACGCCTACCTCACTTTGCATCAATTCAACCTTCATCATGCATCATACTAGATCCTGATTTGTATTCCCCAGATTTCCCTAAAAACTTACATAGAGTTTGCTGGATATTTCTGAATACTTTTCTGTGGTGTCTTCTCTTGGTAATCATTTTCAAGTTTTCCTTAAACGATAAAAGTATGCACTGAGTTAAAAATTTAGCATTGTCTAATTTCATTTTTTTAATTCAAAGAATATTAACATGACATGTACAGAGGAAAACCACTGGTCCACAATGTTATACAATAGGAAGCCATTCTATTTTTGGTTTCATTTTCTTTCAAACACATAAACATACATACAAATATATAGATGTGTGTGTATATAGATACACAAATATATATACTAAAACTGAAAGAAAAAAAGAATATGTAATTACATTTTCCATGTACAATACCAACCTTTTCTTTCAGAGCTGCTTGGGTAGTAATCGTTCTCAAAAGATGTACTAAGATCATTTCTTTCATTTTTGTTGTACTCTCTCTGATTCTTCTCGTTTGGCTGACATTTTTCTGGATAACTTGTTTTATTCAAAGTTGAATTACTAAAAGTCAACTCTGGAACTGTAAAAATGTTTCTAATGCATCTGTCAGTGACACGGTTTTTATCAGAACGAGTGACTACACAAATATCTCCCATACTATCATAATCACACTTGTTAAATGCTTTCTTTATCTTTTGCTGATCTATGTTTAATACATTGATCATATTTTGACTAACAAAAGAGTCAGAATTCTCTGATAGAAAGTTAGGAGTAGACTGGTTCACATCTTCAAGAAAATTTGAAACTTTCTTTCCATTTTTCCTCCAAATATGCTGTATGGAGTGTTTTCCAGTAATGTAGTCTGACTGTCTTATTTCATCCATGCTTCTACAATCTTCATCCATAATTACAGAAGGGTGTTTAGTAAGTAAATTCCTATTTCCTAGACTTCTGGATAAACAAAAACATATTTAGCAAGAAAAGCAGGATTATTTGCATTTAGAAACACTTACTTTCAATTCTTAGAGGACATATTGAGTTGCTACTAACATTTACCTAGACCATGTTTTCATTTTTATATTTAAATAAATAATATTGCTTTGGGTGAAAATTTGTCTAATGTGCTCTTCTAATGACTTATTGAGTATAAAAATAATCTACAGTCAGTTTTTTATTACAACATGAAATGTTAGCATGTGTTTTAATTAAAACATGACCAACCTATAGTATATCTTCTGCAATAAAATCTAAAGAATAAACTAGACAACGATTATGTCACTGCTGTTCCATTTAACCAGAGAAAGATGTTTTGAAGACTGTGCAGAGAAAATTTATCATCAATGTTAAAATATAAAATCAAATAGTTATGAGACATTATAACATATTTTTCAACCTAATATGGATATAAAAACAATTATAAAGTTCCCAAGGAAAAGCAATATAAATACAAATGTGTATATAAGTAATAAAACCAAGAGATAAGGAGAATTAGATAAAAACTAATTTGATGAATTAGATAGCTTGTAAGTTCTATTCTAATGCAGAAATAATAATTCTAGGTTAAGTCCAATTTGTGTACAAGAATCAAAGCTATAATGGAAAATAATTACAAATCAAGATGGTTCTTATTTTATTATCAGTGACTATCTACAAATTTATTTGGAAGTGAGTTGTTCCAGAGGTTGGAGGTATCAAAAAACTTAGAAAACACACACACACACACACACACACACACACACAGATAGCTAAAACTCTGATTTCCAGTCTTATTTTTAAGTTATTTATCAAATATTTGATGATCACCTACTCTGTTCCAGGTACTAGGCCATGTATTGGCAACAGAGATAAAAGAGCTCAGTTTGTTGTTAAAGAGAGAAATTAATGTTTTACCCATGAATGTTCACAGCTCATGATCCAACATTGTTTCTCAATGAGGGCCTTACTGGTGTTTTAAACAAAATGACGTTATTTTGCTATACCAAAAGACATAGTATATACTATGCACTAATATACACCATTAACATAAGGAAAATATCTGTTACTCTACATAAAAGAATAGAGGTAAGTGTACTTTATAAGATATTAAGCACACTATAAATGTAAATCATTTTTTTTATTATTCTTTGAATAGTTTTTGGAAAACAGATGGTGTTTGGTTACATGAACAAGTTCTTTAGTGGTGATTTCTAAGATTTTGGTGCACCCATTACCCGAGCAGTGTACACTGTACCCAATGTGTAGTCTTTTATCCCTCACCCCTCCCCTACCCTCTACCGGAGTCCCCAGAATCCATTATATCAATCTTTTGTGTGTGTGTGTGTGAGATGGAGTTTTGCTCTTTTCATCCAGGCTGGTGTGCAGTAGTACAATCTTGGCCCACTGCAACCTTTGCTTCCTGAGTTCAAGCAATTCTCCTGCCTCAGCCTCCTGAATAGCTGGGATTACAGGTGTGTGCCACCACACAACTGTAATGATTTTTGTATCATTACATTTTTTAATCAAAAATCAGCCTGGCTGATTTTTATATTTTTAGTAAAGACAGGGTTTCACCATGTTGGCCAGGCTGATCTCAAACTCCTGACCTCAAGTGATCCCCCCGCTTCGGCCTCCTAAAGTGCTGGGATTACAGGTGTGGGCCACCAAGCCAAGCCCATTATATCAATCTTATGACTTTGTGTCCTCAAAGCTTAGCTTCCACTTATAAGTGAGAATATAACAATGTTTGGTTTTCCATTCCTGAGTTACTTCAGTTAGAATAATGGTTTCCAACTCCATCCAGGTTGCTGTGAATGCCATAATTTCATTCCTTTTTATGGCTGAGTAGTATTCCATGGTGTGTGTGTGTGTGTATTTTCTTCACCCACTCATTGGTTGATAGGCATTTAGGCTGGTTCCATATTTTTGCAGTTGTGAATTGTGCTGCCATAAACATGCACATGTAAGTGTCTTTTTCATATGACTGATTTTCTCTGGGTAAATACCCAGTAGTGGGATTGCTGAATCAAATGGTAGTTCCACTTTTAGTTCTTTAAGGAGTCTCCATACTGTTTTCCTTAGTGGTTGTACTAGTTTACATACCCACCAGCAGTGTAAAAGTATTCCCTTTCACCACATCCATGCCAACCTCTATTATTTTTTCATTTTTTAATTATGACCATTCTTGTAGGAGTAAGATGGTTACTGCATTGTGGTTTTGATTTGCATTTCCTCCATCTTTAGTGATGTTGAGCATTTTTTCATGTCTGTTGACCATTTGTATATCTTCTTTTGCAAATTGTCTCTTCATGTACTTAGCCCATTTTTTGGTGATATTACTTCTTTTGTTCTTGCTGATTTGTTTGAGTTCCTTGTAGATTTTGGATATTAGTCCTTTGTCAGATGCATAGCTTGGGAAGATTTTCTCCCACTTTCTGAGTTGTCTGTTTACTTTGCTGATTATTTCTTTTGCTGTGCAGATTTTTGTTTTAATTAGGTCCCATTTGTTTATTTTTGTTTTTGTTGTATTTGCTTTTGGTTCTTGGTCATGAACTCTTCGCCTAAGCCAATGTCTAGAAGAGTTTTTCCGATGCTATCTTCTAGAATTTTTATGGCTTCATGTCTTAAAGTTTTTGATCAATCTTGACTTGATTTTTATATAAGGTGAGATGAGGATCCAGTTTCATACTACATGGGGCTTGCCAACTATCCCAGCACCATTTGTTGAATAGGGTGTTCTTTCCCCACTTTATGTTTTGGTTTGCTTTGTCGAAGATCAGTTGACTTTAAGTATTTGGCTTTATTTCTGGGTTCTCTATTCTGTTCCATCTGTCCACATACCTATTTTTATACCACTGCCATGATGTTTTGGTAACTATAGTCCTGTAGTATAGTTTGAAGTCAGGTAATGTGATGCCTCCAGATTTGTTCTTTTTGCTTAGTCTTGCTTTGGCTCTGTGGGCTTTTGGGGGGTCCATATGAATTTTAGGATATTTTTTCTAGTTCTGCAAAGAATGATGGTGGTATTTTGATGGGAATTGCACTGAATTGATAGATTGCTTTTGGTAGTATGGTCATTTTTACAATATTGATTCTACACATCCATGAGCATGGGATGTGGTTCCATTTGTTTGTGTCATCTATGATTTCTTTAAGAAGTGTTTCTAGTTTTTCTTGTAGAGATCTTTCACCTCCTTGGTTAGGTATATTTCTAAGTATTTTATTTTTTGCAGCTGTTGTAAAAGGAGTTGAGTTCTTGATTTGATTCTCAGCTTAGTCAATGCTGATGTATAGTGCTACTGCATTGTGTACATTGATTTTGTACCCTGAAACTTTACTGAGTTCATTTATCATATCTAGGAGCTTTTTGGATGAGTCTTTAGGGTTTTCTAGGTATACTATTATGTCATTGGTGAACAGCAACAGTTTGAGTCCCTCTTCATCTATTTGGATGCCCTTAATTTCCTTCTCTTGTCTGATTGCTCTGGCTAGGACTTCCAGTACTATGTCAAACAGAAGTGGTGAACTCTTGTCTCATTGTTCTGGCTAGGACTTCCAGTACCATGTAGAATAGAAGTGGTGAAAATGGGCACCTTGTCTTGTTCCAGTTCTAGGGGCGAATGCTTTCAACTTTCCCCCATTCAGTATAATGCTAGCTGTGGGTCTGTCATAGATGGCTTTTATTATCTTAAGGTATGACCCTTTTATGCTGATTTCGCTGAGGGTTTTAATCATAAAGTGATGCTAGATTTTGTAAAATGCTTTTCTGCATCTATTGAAATGATCATATAATTCTTGTTTTTAATTCTGTTTATGTAGTGTATATTTATTGACTTATGTATGTTAAACCATCCCTGCATCCCTGGTATGAAACTCACTTGATCATGATGTATTGTCTTTTGGATATGCTGTTGGATTCAGTTAGCTAGTATTTTGTTAAGGATTTCTGCATCTATGTTCATCAGGAATATTGGTCTGTAGTTTTCCTTTTTTTTTTTTTTTTTTTTTTTTCCGTTATGCCTTTTCCTGGTTTTGGTATTAGGGTGATACTAGCTTCACAAAATGATTTAGGGGGGATTCTCTCTTTATCTTTTGGAATAGTTTCAGTAGGATTGGTACCAATTCTTCTTTGAATGGCTGATAAAATTCAGCTGTGAATCCATCTGGTCCCAGACTTTTTCTTTTGTTGGTAAGTTTTAAAATTACCATTTCAATCTCACTACTTGCCATTGGTCTGTTCAGAGTTTCTGTTTCTTCCTGGTTTGATCTTAGAGGGTTGTATATTTCTAGGAATTTATCAGTCTCCTGTAGGTGTTCTAATTTGTATGTGTAAAGGTGTTCATAGTAGCCTTGAATAATTGTTTGTATTTCTGTAGTATCAGTTATAATATCTCCCATTTTGTTTCTAATTGAGCTTATCTGGGTCTTCTCTGTTCTTTGTTAATCTTGCTAATGGTCTATCAATTTTATCTTTTTAAAGAACCAGCTTTTCCTTTCATTTATCTTTTGTATTGTTTTTTCTGTTTGTTCTGCTCTGATCTTTGTATTTCTTTTCTTCTGCTGGGTTTAGGCTTGGTTTGTTCTTGTTTCTCTAGTTCCTTGAGGTGTGACCTTAGATTGTCTATTGTGCATTTCCAGACTTTTTGGTGTAGGCATTTAATGCTATTAACTTTCCTCTTAGCACCACTTTTGCTGTATTCCAGAGATTTTGATAGGTTATGTCACTACTACTGTTCAGTTCAAAGAATGTTTAGATTTCTGTTTTGATTTCATTGTTGACCTAAAGATCATTTAGGAGCAGATTAGTTAATTTCCATGTATTCGTACAGTTTTCAGGGTTCGTTTTGGAGTTGATTTCCAATTTTATCCCACTGTGATCTGAGAGAGTACTTGATATAATTTATTTTCTTAAATTTACTGAGACTTGTTTTGCAGCCTATCATATGGTCTATCTTGGAGAATGTTCCATATGCTGA